CGGAGCGAAGGACGCTGGTTTTTGCCGCCCAAGATTACACTCGCTTTCCTCTGCCTGGCTCGGGCGCTTGCCTCCCGAGCACTTCCTTGTTCACGAAACGAACTCGGATTCATCAACGGACAGATTAGGTCAGCCTCAGGGTTGTGGTTCTGACCTGTTGGCGTGGATTGATTGGTTTCGGGAAGGAATTGGAGGGAAGAGAGAGAGAGAGAGCGAATGGTAGAAACAGGGACGGATACGGACACGGGAGCGAGTATTCGAATGCACAAACACATACGCACACTCACAATAAACACACACGCACACACACACACACACATACACACACATACACACACATACTCACACACACACACACACAACACACGTACACTACACACACACACACATTCACACCCACACACTCACAATAAACACGCACACACAAACACACACACACACGATTCGAAATGTCAGGCTGGAGAAGAATCCTTTTGAAATATTAAATGGTTTCTTCCTATGAGTTTGGTTTCGTCCCTGTGTCCTCACCAATGAGGCGGACTCATGCATTTTCACCCTTGATAGACAGATAGTTAAATAGACAGCTAGGTAGATATTTATGTAGGTAGATGAGATAGATTTATATACATAGAGATATATAGATAATTTGATAGATATATTGATAAACATATAGACAGATAGACAAATTGATATATATATATATATATAATATATATATATAGATAGATAGATAGATAGATAGATAGATAGATAGATAGATAGATAGATAGATGGATAGATAAACAGGTAAAGATATAGATAGATAGATTGAGAGAGAGAGAGAGATGGAGAGAAAGAGAGCGAAACAGAGATAAATAAATGGATAGAGAGAGAGAGAGAGAGAGAGAGAGGAGAGAGAGAGAGAGAGAGAGAGAGAGAGAGAGAGAGAGAGAGAGAGAGAGAGAGAGAGAGAGAGAGAGAGAGAAACAGAGAGAGAAACGGAGAGATGGAGCGAGAGAGAGAGAGATGGAGGGAGAGAGAGAGGATAATAATAATAACAATAATAAGAGAGAGAGAGTTCACATCACTACATAAAAGCTCTGCATTTTGGCAATGCTTGATATTTCCACCTTTAAAGCGGCATTACTTTTTCTTGTCTGTTACGGTTAGATTTATATAATACTCAGTCTTAGCTTAAACACAGTTACAATGATAGTGTTTTTTATTTAGTCATGACAGATATTAAGAGAATGATACATATTGCAATATTCTACATGTTGAACCGTTAATGCTAGTTTTTAACATTTGCTATTCTTTTCATTATCTATACCTTGGTTAGAAAGGACTACTATCCATATTTGATATTTTCAACTGACCTATTCTAAATTACTATCCAATACAAATACTAAAGATTCATGATATCTGAATTGTTTTTTTGCAAGTATGTAATGTGCTATAATTTTGCCGGATTATGTTATTTTATTATATTATTACATATTACACTCTTAACGCATGGACACGTTCGCAGGAGTGCAATAAACGCAACGGAATGTAGTACATCCTGTTATATTGAATGCTCTACAGCACGTGCTAGGAGTCCCGCATGATCTCCAGAAGGACCTCCCTTAGCTTCATAGAAACATCGGTAAAAGGGCAGTAGGAAATAGGTTAAGCCCAATACTTAATAGATGGACGCATGGATAACTCATATATTGCTTGTAAGGGCAGTTGGAGGGACGACGAGCTCTCTGCAGACTGGCATTTCGATAGACAGCTAGCCATCCTTTTTTCAGCTGTAGTAGTCTGTGCTTCCGCCATAGTGCATATTTTTATTTTCTCTGTGTTGTGTTATATACATGAAATTTTGTGTATATAGCACAAACGCACATATGTATAGTGCAAATGCACAAACATACGCGCGCGCGCGCATATATATGCGTGTGCATGTGCATGTATCTGTGTGTGTTACAAGCACATTCCCTCATAAAACCCTGCATGTGCGACGCCAAGGCCGTTCACGCACCTGACGGGGTCGAAGCGAACCGAAGAAACCAGCTCACGTAACGTTAGTCTGGTTAACGTATCCTCAGATCCCCAGCCCACTGTCTGCGTCTTCATCGCAATTTTGCGATTGTCAATGTTGCTTTCCCTCGACGCTGTCACTACGAGCATCTTGAGCCACTCTCTGGCCCTCTTCTCATGCGGATCGCACATTGCACGTCCACATGCACCCTCGAATAAAATACTGCTTGAGCACAATTGGCATAATTGCTTATACAGGTATTATGTCACCGAACTCCTTGCTAGAACCATATGGCTCGACTCGGGGTGTTGTAAAATGTAATTTAATCTATCGTAGTCTTTGCTCTCCTTATAAGGAATGAAACGTAATATCCTTACTGTTCATACCGCTGTTACCAGCACTCGATCACTGATTGTACGGTATATCAAACTCCTTACATCAACAGTGCAATCTCTTTATGTTATAATACGTTATGTATTGTTTATCGTAAGACTCATGAAGTCATAACACCCCAACCCCCACACACACACCGCTCCCTTGGCGAACTATAATATCACCCTTTAAGATTAACTGCCCTTACTTGGGTGTTTCCGTTCGTCTCCTTCTGAAGCCTATTTCTCGATAGATTGAAGGAACCACAACTACGCCCGCTTCTCCCGCCTGTGAAAAGAATACATGGACTCTCTTACATTGTATTTTCCATGCAATATACTATTCAATAATCTTTTCGTTTTTTTTTTTGTTTTTTTTTGTTTTTTTTTGAACGATTCTTAGGTGGTGATAACGTTAGATATTTGTTGTAGCGTAACGGTTTCACATTTCCTCTGACATTTTTCAAAATTCTTTGTACTTAATTTTATTTCTCTTAGTGTTGTGGTTGTTGTTAGTATTGCGGTATTAATTGGTGTTATCGTTATTATGATTATGATGATGATTATTATTATTGTTATTATCCTTACTATTTTTATCAATATATTTTTTTCGTTGTTGTTATTATCATTACTACTGTCATCACTACAGTTGATTATCGTTGTTATTATTATCATTACCGTTATCCTTCTCGTCCTCATCATCATCTTCCTCATCTTTATCACTTTTTTTCTTCTCATCATCATCCGTCACCATTATCATTATCTTAATTATCATCATTATCATTATCATCATTATTTCTGTTATCATCATTATTGGTATGCTCATTGTTGTCATTGTTGCTGTTATTTTTATTATTATTATTGTCCTCATCATGTTTAACCTATCAATATTTCGGGTCCGGAAATCCCACGTAGCCTATATACAGTTTCATTGCAGCACTCATCTCTCTCTCTCTCTCTCTCTCCTCTCTCTCTCTCTCTCTCTCTCTCTCTCTCTCTCTCTCTCTCTCTCTCTCTCTCTCTCTCTCTCTTCTCTTTCTCTCTGTCTGTTCTCTCTCTCTCTCTCTGTCTCCTCTCTCTCTCTCTCTCTCTCTCTCTCTCTCTCTCTCTCTCATCTCTCTCTCTCTCTCTCTCTCTCTCCTCTCTCTCTCTCTTCTTTATATGTATACATATACAACATATATAGCATATATATATATATATATATATATATATATATATATATATATATATATATATGTATGTTGTGTGTGTGTGTTGTGTGTGTGTGTGTGTGTGTGTGGTGTGTGTGGTGTGTGTGTGTGTGTGTGATATGTATATATATATATATATATATATTATATATATATATATATATATATATATATATATGATATATGTATATATATATAATACATACATACATATATATATATATATATATATATAATATTATATATATATTACCCTCCTCTCTCTTCTCTCTCTCTCTCTCTCTCTCTCTCTCTCTCTCTCTCTCTCTCTCTCTCTCTCTCTCTCTCTCTCTCTCTCTCTCTCTCTCTCTCTCTCTCTCCTTACCTGGGTGCAACGGTTCATTACGTAAGTTGCAACGCGCAGACCTTTTTTTAAACTCAAAAAACAAGGACATAACGGCACTGCGGTCTACTTATCTCTTCTCTTTATTTCACATAAAATTTGCGTGAATAAAGGCACGAGTACAAGAATAAAGAAATGGGCATGAGTGGATGATGGTTGTAGAGCTAATGGTGATGTGGATGATGAGGATGAAGATAATGGTGATGATGATGAAAAGGAGGATCATGATGATGGTTATGATGATGGTGGTTATGATAGTGGTGATGATGATGGTGGTGGTGATGATTATGATAATGATGATGGTAATTGTGATGATGGTGGTGGTGATGGTGATAATAAGGACGATGGTGACGATTATGATGATGGTGGTGGTAATGGTGATAATGATGGTGATGGTGCTGATGACGATGGTAATCGCAATTGCAAAAACAGTAATAGTAATGATATTGATAATAATGATAATAATTTCACCATTTGCCGTAAGGATATTATACACGTAAATGCTATATCCATCTACGGATATACATATATCTGTATGCGTGTGTGTGTGCGCATTTCATAAACATTCCACACGCAAGCACTCTTCATCCTCACCACGAGACCGATGCCCATGACCCCCCCCCCCCTAATCACGTAGATCCTAACTGTCGCATTAATATCACGCGGATCGAGTTGGTCTTTGATGCGAAACGACCAATTGAGCGAAACATTAAGGCATTTCCGCCACAGAACCACGTTCATGGCGGCGGTTTTAAAAATTGGAATGGTCTCGTTTCTCGCTTGGAAATGCGTGTTGCGTGTGACTGCTTGCTTCCTGCTTGTTATGATAATTACGTTCCCTGCAAATACGAATAATGCAATATGCTGTTTCGGAAGCTCGTGTAGTTATTGGAGTGTTTTTTTTTGTTTTTTTTTTTTTTTTGCTCCGGGAAAGCATGACTGATGTAATTATTCGTCAGGTGTACATGTCCACAAAAAAAAAACGTGAATGATGAAATGACTGAAATGTTTTACGAAATTATTCTTAATGATAGTGAGAAAAAAATGCTAAAATGAAGCTCGAAAGTAAGACAATTTCTGTAAAATATGATAAAGAGACTTTTGGAAGTATGTGATAAACGGAATATTGAATCAAAGTTTGAGTTCACATTTTAATCATAACATTATTATCATTGTAATCATCATTACTGTTTTGCTTGTTGTACTTTTTGTTGTAACTATTATCATTGTTATTATTGCTTGTCATTGTCATCAATATTATCTTTGTCATTGTTATCATTACTACTGTTATCATTATTATCTTTATCAATTCTATTAATCATATAATAAATATTATCCTTATTTCTATTTCTATCATTATTATTATCATTATCATTTTCATCATTATCATCATTATCATTATTATCATCATTATTACTATTGTTATCATTATCATTATTATCATTATTATCGTCATCATTCTTATTATCAAAATCATTATTTTATTACTCTTATTATCATATCATTATCATTACGGCTATCATTATTTTCATTATCTTTATCATTATTATTATCATCATCTTTAGCATTATCATTATCATTATTGTTATCATCATCATTATCATTATCATCATCATCAATATCAGCATTATCATTATTCTTAGCTTCATTATCATTAGCATTACTAGTAGTAGTAGTATCATCATCGTCATTTTGATCATCATCATGATCATCACCATGATTATAATCATCACTATCATCATTATTATCATCATCATCATCATAAACGTCATCATCATCTTAAACACCATTATCATCATAATTATCATTACTAATATCATAATCATCATTATTATCATCATTATCATTATTGGTGTTGCTATTAAGATGAGTATCATTATCATTAATAACATTACCACCAATATCATAGCTATTAATTATAATGATTATGATTATCCCCATCATTGTCATCCTACCCATTGCGCATAATCTTCATTGTTATCATTGCTGTTGTTGTCAACAATATTATTTATTCTTTTTTCCTTTTTTTAGCTCTGGAAAAATTACTGTATCAGTTATTTGTCAAAACACGTGAATGATGAAAAGAAATTATATCTAATTATAGTGATTTGATAAAACTTGTATCATTGTCATAGTCATTACGATTATCATTATCATTATTATCCTCATTATTCTCATCACCATCTTTATCATCATTATCATTACTATCATTATTATAATCAATATTGTCTGTTTGTTGTTATTGTCATTATCACTGTGCACCATGACCATTATCAATATCATTGATAATGTTGTTTCGTTGCTGTCATCATCATTATGCTTCTTCCATTAATGTAAATATGGAAGAGACCAGAGTCTCTGTGAGGCCTTCCGTGACACAATGGAAACACCTGACATGTTTAAACTAATGCTTTAATTCCGTTTCTCATTCCTCGTCTCGAGTCCGCACAAACCAAATAACTACAAAAATGCATCTTTAATAAATCAAACTTCAATACATGCGAAGCGAATAGAATAACACAAAACCAATCCCGCTAAGAAACTGTCTGCATTGTTATAATAAAATGCGAAAAAGCCTCCGTTACCCAAATTGCACGCTAGGACCCCATCATCTTAGCCACACGAATTGGTCCCCAAGGTCGCTAGAGCACCTGGTGACGTCGGGCCAAAGTCCATGTATAAATAGTGGGGGATGGGTCTTTATTCGACACAGTGTGGCTAAAGCATCCCAAGAACAGCATCATGAAGTCCGTGGTATGTAGTCTATTGGAGCAGTTGAGTATGGAATTGTGTATCTTAGATTTCTGTGTAAAGGTTAGTTGGCTTTTGTTAGTAGGCTGGTGCGTTGTTCTGTTCTTTTCTCAATTCTTTTTTATATTATTGAATCTTTATAGTCTTTTGATGGTAAGCATAAGACTTACAACGGATGAGCCTTTTTAGATTGACAAAGACATTTGGGCCGTGGCTTATAATGCAAATGATACAAACATTCATTGTACAAAAACTATCTCTATAATCATCTTTTCATAATGTCTTGAGTCAGTCAGCCTCATACTCTAATATTTTTTAGAACTCGAAATGAGAGAAGACTAAAACGCTTCTTCCGTTGTACTGCATGCCTGGAAGCTAAATGTGCAAGTAAAGGCTCTATCTCATGGAATGCTAGAATTCTAGACTGATAAAATCTGGAACACTAATGGAATCCATTTGGTGATTTCTTCCAATGCCTCTCAGGTAATTTTGGCAGTGCTGGGAGTGTGCTCCGCCTCCACCTGGCAGGCCAACTACGGAGGCTACGGCGTGTACGGCGCTCCTTACCAGCCGAAGTGGACCGGACCCGTGGCAGCCACCGTCCCGGCGGGCGTCGACGGTACCATCACCCCGGTATCCGATACGTACGAGGTGAGCGCCGCGCGTAATGCCTTCTTCAAGGCATACAACGCCCAACTGGCTGCCGTGGGCGCGTACCGTTACCCCCTCTATTACCCAACTACCCCAACTGTGTACCTCAATTCAGCATCGCCCGCCGCCCACCACTCCGTCCTCACCTACAGCGCTGCACCCGCTCCGGTTCGTGACACGCCCGCCGTGGCCGCCGCCAAGGCTGATTTCTTCCGCCTGTACAACCTGCAGGCGGCAGCAGCAGCCGCGGCTCCAGACTATGATGCCCCTCGCTACTATTATTGAGATGGTGCACAGTCCATTTTGAGAGCAGTCAATAAAGATGAATGACAAGATTATTTTTATTATCATTATTATAGATAGCCTGCTATACTCTTCGATGAACAATCCTATGTAAAACAAAGAGAAATGAACTAATGAGAAACAGATATATGAAGAAAAATGTCAGAATACAATAATAAAGCATGAGAACTATAAGAATGTGATATCTCTTACGTTCCTGACAGAAATTTTACTCGCTATTGCAAGTATCTTTTTAAAGCCATCATCCAGATAAATTTCAGGAAGGACATCAGTTCAGATTTATGACTAGCTTCAGATTTAAGGGAAATAAATCTGATATATTTCATCATTCTGGTTTGGAACTCAGTACCATAACCTTTGGTATTTGGAAAGGGGTAATAATCTCGAAACTCCTGCACTCAGTTTCTGATCTTCAGTTGAGATTGTGAGACATTATTCAAGATGCCTTATCAAGCAATACCGTATAAGGCTTTGAATAACACGGGACAGATATTGAAATCTTCAAGGATATCTTGCGAGGAGACGGTACCTGACATTACACTTACAGAATAAACAGAATAAAATATATAAAATGTATTTTCTTTCATGTGGTTGCGATTATACGTATATGTCCATGGTAACACTAGAGAGTATGCAGTGTTATTTGCCAAACTTGTTATCCTGAATTTTATGGCAAATATAACCACTGACTTGTTGTGGCAGTAATGGGATATATCCATACACTTGGCCTTGAGCTACATCCTTCTATATCGATGCTATTATGAAAGCATGACACGTCACAGGAACCTAAAAAAAAGTACTCCAATTTTCTTTTTTTTCTTTTTTCTTTTTTCATGCTATGCGTCAAGGTTAACTAATACCTTAACATGAGAGCCACTTGGATAGGAAATCCGCCAATTGGATGTAGTTATTACTGATAATGACGGGATGTTCACTCACTTAAAAAAAAAAAAAAAAGCATTGCATGACATATTTTCCATAGTGGTTGGTAAATGCAATTAAATCCTTTTTCGTTTTTATATTTCTTTGTCATTTCTAGAGCGGATTTTGCTATAGCCTTTATATAATTCATCTTGTACTTAACCATACTTAATGCGAAAATTAATTCTCTAACTAACTGAATAATGATTCTGAACTTATCTCCTAACGCGACAGCTACATAGAATGAGTATGGATACGAGAGAGAATTTTACAGAAGTATTTGGCGTTTTATGGGTAACGCATGACGAGTAAAACCAGTACGTCGTGTGATGCGCGTAGTAGAAGAGTAGACTTTGCTGACTCATGTGTTCTTCCCTTTTTTATTATTAGCGTCATAGACATCAAGGATAATGATATTCTTGATCCTGGGAAAAGGAATATGGCTGATCGTCTTGTAAGAAAAAAGGGAAAGAAGAAAAAGCAAAAGCTATGTCAGATAAATATTTGAACTCTTGGACTATGAGAACAATGGTGGACAAAGAATTCATATTGTGTGTGTAATATATTTTTTTAAATATTGATATATAGTAAATAAAAAAATAATAATTTTAAAAAACCACGTCGATTTAGCATCAGACAGGATCATTATGTAGGAATACTATGTAAGTGTTTATTTATTTATATCTAGATTCAAACAACACTGTATACAGACACGGCGGATTGGTGATGAATATTGTGTATGGATCCAATCGAGTTATATATTAGGTGTTTCTTGGTTTCCAATAGCAGTCAGAGATAGCAACCATGTTCTCTTAAAAAGGTGGACACTCAACCCTTACATTAACGCAACAATCAAGTGTCCAATTAATGTTACCCTTTCTAGGTCTGGCTTCCCCTCCCCTTCCTCCATACTTCCCCCCCCCCCACCCATTTCTTTTTACTAAATCATTCCTACTGAGTTCCGGTTACAGCTTAAAAATGCCCTGGAGTACCTAATATAGGCCTACCTAATACCTAATTTCTTGTTCGCTTCGCTTGCCTACCCGTCCAAGCCCCCCCCCCCTGCACACAAGTGAAAGAGCGAACTCAAACATTTAGTAAAGTAACTCAGGTGCATATCCAGAATTGATAATATAACAAAAAAGAAAGAAAAAGAAAAGAAGAAAAATAATAATAATAATAAAAAAAATATATATATATATAATATATATATATATATATATATATATATATATATATATATATGTAACCAAAGCATACATTCCTTATGTTACAGACTAATCTTTTGCCTCAAATAAACAGATCAACTATATGCTTGATTGTGGCCTTTTTCTACACCGTACATAACAAAAATTATTCTTCTTATGCATTTTTCCATCTAGTATATTTGACTTACTAAAAAGCTTACACCTGTACAGACATATTAACCGGTGGACAGAGAGAGAGAGGAGAGAGAGAGAGAGAGAGAGAGAGAGAGAGAGAGAGAGAGAGAGAGAGAGAGAGAGAGAGAGAGAGAGAGAGAGAGAGAGAGAGAGAGAGAGAGAGAGAGAGAGAGAGAGAGAGAAGAGAGAGAGAGAGAGAGAGAGAGAAGAGAGAGAGAGAGAGAGAGAGAGAGGGATGAGAGAGAGAGAGAGAGAGAGAGAGAGAGAGAGAGAGAGAGAGAGAGAGAGAGAGAGAGAGAGAGAGAGAGAGAGAGAGAGAGAGAGAGAGAGAGAGAGAGAGAGAGAGAGGAGAGAGGGAGAGGGAGGGAGAGAGGAGGAGAGGAGGGAGAGGGAGGGAGGGAGGGAGAGAGGGAGAGAGGAGAGAGAAAGAGAGAGAGAGAGAGAGAGGGAGGGAGAGGAGAGAGAGAGAGAGAGAGAGAGAGAGAGAGAGAGAGAGAGAGAGAGAGAGAGAGAGAGAGAGAGAGAGAGAGCAGAGAGAGAGAGAGAGAGAGAGAGAGAGAGAGAGAGAGAGAGAGAGAGAGAGAGAGAGAGAGAGAGAGAGAGAGAGAGAGAGAGAGAGAGAGAGAGAGAGAGAGAGAGAGAGAGAGAGAGAGAGAGAGAGAGAGAGAGAGAGAGAGAGAGAGAGAGAGAGAGAGAAGAGAGAAGAGAGAGAGAGAGAGAGAGAGAGAGAGAGAGAGAGAGAGAGAGAGAGAGAGAGAGAGAGAGAGAGAGAGAGAGAGAGAGAGAGAGAGAGAGAGACAGAGATATAGAGAGAAAGAGAGAGAGAGAACCTTCTTCCGGGACTTTACAAGTTGGGGTCTCCTTTACCTCTTGATAATTCTTGGATTACATCCTCGGAGTGACTTAAGATTTTCTGATGTAACAGATAATCTAATATGGTTTTAAAGTGTGAATGAAAAAAGAAAAATGAGGAAAGACACAATAATAAAACAACATATTTGTATAATTGCTTACCCCAAGCCACATAAAAACGGCAAACGCAGAAGAAAAAAATATATACATGTATATACGCATATATACGTGTGTGCGTCTATATATATATATATATATATATATATATATATATATATATATATATATATATATATATATATATATATATATATATATATATATATATATATATAATGTAATTATTGTCTCTTATCCAAGCACTGAAATCCCGGTTGACCAGCCCTGCCATTTATGAGTAACCATAGCACGTTTTTTTGTGATTATTATCATTATTGCAAAACAACAATTCACTACAATAGCCCTTCTATTTGATGCGTTAATCGAATTCCGAAAATTATATACACTTGTTAACAAAATCATCGTTGTCATTCTTACTATCGTTATTGATCTTATGAACAGTAGCAGTAGTAATATCATACAGCTATAACTGCTATTCTACCACTACTATTATCATTAAAATCACTGACGTTGTTATGCTAATTGTTATCAATGTTATTATCATTGTTATTGCTATAATCATTGACACTCATCATCGTGCTTTGAGTCATTGTTAGCAAGTTTATTTTATTACTGTCAGCTGTGACTGTGACATTGACCATCGTTATCATCAACTCCATCGTAAACCTAATCATTATCATCGTTTTTCTTCATCCATATTTTGTTCTTTGAAAGATCCGGCCGGACATAACTCCACATCTTTTTTATGCGACTTAAGGATATTGTATTCATGCATAAGGTTGCAATGAACTACTTTTGTTTCCTCTAATGTTATGTTTTCATTTTTGAAATAGATCAATTTTGATTCCAGCAAAAAAAAAGAAAAGAAAAAAAGTAAATTTGAGATTGAGGATATTTGCACTTGAACTTATTTCTAACATTCATATATATATATATATATATATATATATATATATATATATATATATATATATATATATATATATATATATGGCCTTGGTATATACTCTGTTACCTTTTCTTTCATTATATTGTCCCTTCATATTTCCTCGTATAATTCCCCAAGATTGCATACTTATGTACGGAACTACACGTTGACTTCATATTTCAGAGGAGTTACACTGCAGCATTGTTGAGAAAATAAATTACAGTAAGATGTAAGTTTGCATATGTTGTCACGAATTGCTTTTATTTTACACAGATTTCGTCTATTTTTCTCCTTTGCGCTGAGTATGTTGGAAATAAAGTAAAAAAAAAAAAAAAAAAAAAAAAAAAAAAATCTATATCCTTTGGTAAATAGGTACAGAGGAGCCACGAGCTGCAAGTTCTAATATATACACTGACTGTTACGACAATTATTTGAAAAGGTAAGATGAGGGAATGACAACTTTCACACAGGATGAATTACTTGATATTCCAGATGATCACGTGACCACCCTGGCGGAGAGGACAACTTGGTAGAAGAGAATGCATGAGATGCAGCATTATATGAACGATCGACGAATGTGAATAGTGATAATGATATCATGCACTACACAACCACAAAAATGACTGTTGCTGCAGGGCCTGTTCATGTAGTATAAAAACATGTAGAAGAGAGACAATGACAAAGCAAGAACAGTGAGTATAAATAAAATCATATAAAATGATCGGGAAATGTAGGCAAAGGCGTGTTTCCTTGTTTGGAAGAAATCAGCGAAAGTTAAAAACAAGGTTTGTTAGGACGGATGTGGTCCCGATGGTCAACTTTCCCATTTTCCAACATTTGGTAGATAATGCAGTCCATCATACTACTACGTAGTAAGCATGCGAACGGAAGTACTTAAGTCATAAAGAGCAACGTTATATTAATGAACACGGATAATAAAATGAAAAATCTAAAAATATAAATTCACTTTTTGTATATTTGCAAATGGTATAGAAATTGTAAAGGCATGTTCTAGTAATAGTAGCGAAGAGCATCATGGTCTGGAGCCGCGGCTGCTGCTGCCGCCTGCAGGTTGTACAGGCGGAAGAAATCAGCCTTGGCGGCGGCCACGGCGGGCGTGTCACCGACGGGAGCGGGTGCGGCGCCGTAGGTGAGGGCGGAGTGGTGGGCGGCGGGCGCTGCTACGCTGACGTGAACTGCCGGCGTGGCGTGGTAGTAGGCGGGAGTACCGTAACGGTACGCGCCCACGGCAGCCAGTTGGGCGTTGTATGCCTTGAAGAAGGCATTACGCGCGGCGCTCACCTCGTAGGTATCGGATACCGGGGTGATGGTACCGTCGACGCCCGCCGGGACGGTGGCTGCCACGGGTCCGGTCCACTTCGGCTGGTAAGGAGCGCCGTACACGCCGTAGCCTCCGTAGTTGGCCTGCCAGGTGGAGGCGGAGCACACTCCCAGCACTGCCAAAATTACCTACGAAAAAGGACATTAACACTCATCGACCTTTGGAAAATACTTTTGAAATATTATAATTGTCTCTAGTTATTTCTGAGGATCAAAGTACGAAGTATTCAAAACAATCTATTCAGGAACAGTTACCAGAGATTTCATGATGTTCTGCTTTGCCTGTCGTGAGTCGCACTGCATACCCCTTGTACCATGCAGTATTTATAGGTCCTGCATCTGTGCGACTCTGGTGGGCGTGGCTTGACCCTGGATCAGCTGAGGAAGAGATGGAGCATTCTGAGTCAGCAAATGTCTTCAAATTGCCTTATAGTTTAATGACTATCGTTATCTCAAATAGATATACACATTGCGTATCAACTATCACAGATCAACTTTAGCAAACTGATAAATTGATGGATAAATAGATAAAATATCCAAGGAATAGACCGTAACATTCCTGATAATTGAGTTGTAATTGATGTTGCTTTTATGACTTGACAACGTTGCTGAATCATTTTTGTTTAATAAACGTTTGAAACGTAACTAGTAAACACCTACGGAATGCCGTACAAGGTTTTACTACAGGAACAGCTTACTTTTTTCTGTTATTTTAATGTAAATGTATAAGTGTGTTCTTACACATATATACATACAAATATATGTATGTACATGCATATATATGTATGTACACAAATATATATATATATATATATATATATATATATATATGTATGTATATATATGTGTATATATATACATATGTGCATGTACATATACATATTCAGATTGATATGTGTGTGCAATTACACACATACACATATATACACATACACATGTGTCTTTCATGTAAGAATTGATATGATTTGGTTAATATCATAGATTTATTTCCTTGTCTTTGATCAGTGACCATCATTAGATAGTGATTAATATTATCAACTACATCTTCATATGCATAATCAATATCATCATATCTTTACATCCATTTCTATCATTTCAAAGTTCCGCGTGGTATCCTAAATAGATAAGTGAAAGGAAAAGATGGTGTATGCATGCTTAGAATTCAATAATTTTTAAGTGGACTTTCCTACTCATGACTAAAAGAAGAGCGACTTATGTAGAAAAAGGGTATGGATGAGAATGAACATCTTCAGAGCGCAATAGACACATCCAACCGGTTTCGACTTTATCTTTGTCAAAATATACGTGTTCTCTTTATTCATACTTTTCAACCAAGAGCAATGCCGCATTTGCCTCTATGATTCCCGATTACAAATGTTTAGTACTCTTGCTCGTGTAGCTTTATACGGACTTCCATTTTGACTTCATATTTCAACGGAGTTAGCCTGTAGACCTGTTGACAGTAATACAAAAGTGATTGCACGTGTAGGTTTGCATCTGACATCATGAAGTACCTATGATTCATAAACATTTTTCTTTTTTTTCTTTACGCTGAGTACTGTAAGGAATTATATATATGTATATATTTATACACACATATATATATGTATATACATATATATATATTAATATATATATCAATATATATATATATATATATATATATATATATATATATATATATATATATATATATATAGTTTTGATGAGTAGATGGGAGCCATGGGCTCCATCTTGTATTAAAAGGTAAGAAGCGGAATAGGAAAACATTTTATTGCGTGGCTGTGCTTACATTAGAAATTAATTTCGTAGAAAACATGACATATACAATGAGTATACTTGATGGTAATTGCTTCCGCCAAGGAGGTTGTCTCTTTGGTAGCGTTGGTTGTTCCTTGGTTAGCAGGATGATTGGTGATCTAGCTTTGCTAGATACGGATATCTTAAACTTTTTGGGATTTAAAATATTATTATGTTGCCTTGACGGAGGTATGCGCTTTTTGAGTGCTTCTAGTTTATAAAATGATCAGGCAAATGTGTATTTCCTTGCTTCAGAAAACCACCGAACGTTGAAATCAAGGCTTCTTAGGACGGATGAGGTCATAATGGTCAGCTTTCCAATTTTCCAAACATCTTATAAATATTGTAATTCGTCTGATCACTGTGTATTTAGTAGTATTAGACGATACGGATACTATACAGGTGAAAGTGTACGCAGTTTTGAAATCGTTCAGTAAATGAATCTACATTAATCTTTTTATATTCATGAGCGTGCGACTGTGAGTACTAATATGTCCTTTTCAGCGACAGGATATTCATTAACTCGGATAATGAAGTAAAAAGTTTAGAAATATAAATTCATTTTCGTAAATTTGCAGAGTACAGACATTTTCATTGGTTTCATTGGGAGTTTTCAAGTCCTTTCAGTAATAGTAGCGAGGAGCATCATGGTCTGGAGCCGCGGCTGCTGCTGCCGCCTGCAGGTTGTACAGGCGGAAGAAATCAGCCTTGGCGGCGGCTACGGCGGGCGTGTCACCGACGGGAACAGGTGCGGCGCCGTAAGTGAGAGCGGAGTGGTGGGCGGCGGGCGCTGCTACGCTGACGTGCACTGCCGGCGTGGCGTGGTGGTAGGCAGGAGTACCGTAACGGTACGCGCCCACGGCAGCCAGTTGGGCGTTGTATGCCTTGAAGAAGGCATTACGCGCGGCGCTCACCTCGTAGGTATCGGATACCGGGGTGATGGTACCGTCGACGCCCGCCGGGACGGTGGCTGCCACGGGTCCGGTCCACTTCGGCTGGTAAGGAGCGCCATACACGCCGTAGCCTCCGTAGTTGGCCTGCCAGGTGGAGGCGGAGCACACTCCCAGCACTGCCAAAATTACCTGCCAAAAAAAAAATCAGAATTTTTTAATGATTTTATGTTGTCATTTCTGAGGCCCACTGCGTCAAGCACAGAAAACACTCTATTAAGTAACCAAATTTCAGGAACAGTTACCAGAGATTTCATGATGTCCTGCTTTGCCTGTCGTGAGTCGCACTGCATACGCCTTGCCTCGTGCACAGTATTTATAGGTCCTGCATCAGGGCGACTCTGGTGGGCGTGGCTTGACCCTGGATCAGCTGAGGAAGAGATGAAGCATTCTGAGTCAGCAAATGTCTTGAAATTGCTTTATAGTTTGATGACTATTGCTATCTCAAAATATATACACATTGTGTTTCAACAACTATCACGACTCGCCTTTAGCAGATTGTTAAATTGATGGATAAATGGATAAATGGATAAAATATGCAAGGAAAAGACTAACATCCCTGTTAATTGTCTTGTAATCAATGTTGCTTATATGACTTGACAACGTTACTGAATCATTTTTGGTTAATAAACGTTTGAAACATAACTAGTAAACACCTACGGAATGCCGTAGTTTTTACTACAGGAACAGCTTATTTTTTTATTATTTTAAGGCAAATGTATGTGTGCGTGTCTGCTTACGGAAATGTACATATATATATATATATATATATATATATATATATATATATATATATATATTTGTATGTGTGTGTGTGTGTGTATAAACATGTGTATATATGCGTGTATATATACCCGTATTTGTATTTATATGTACACATTCAGATAGATATGCGTGTATAACCACACACACGCGCGCATATACGAGTACATTTGTCTTTCATGTCACAACTAATGTATTTTTGTTAACGTTGTTATTTCATAAAATAGTCATAAAATACTCATCATTTTTAACTACATCTTCATAAACACAATTAATATCATATCTTTACGTCCATATCTAATATTTGGAATTTCCTCATGGTATCCCACATAAAAGAGAGAGAGGAAAGGATGGTGTACATCCTTATAATTCAATAATTTGTAAATGGCTTTTGACTGTCTTCCTTATAACTGAAAGAATAACGACTTGCGTGAAAAAAACGGTATGGATGAGTGTAAACATCAGAGCACAAAAGACGAATTCAATCGGTTTCGACTTTGTCAGAATATACGTGCTCTCTTCGACCATACTTTTCAACCAAGAGCAATGCCCCATTTGCCTCTAGAATTCCCGAAGACAAATGTTTAGTACTTTTGCTCGTATAATTTTATACGGACTTCCATTTCGACTTTATATTATAGTGGAGTTAGACCGTTAAATTGTTGCTAGTAACACAAGAGATTGTACATGTAGGTTTGCATCTGCTATCTTGAAGTGCTTATGATTTGTAAACATTTTGTTTTTTTCTTTACGCTGAGAACAGTAAGGAGTAATATATATATATATATATA